TTAGTAATTGTCTTAATGATTACAATGGAGCACTTTTTTTTCATTTCAATCACAGGCACACAGCATATTATGGTTTCTTCTCTATATTATTTAAATTGAGTTTTCTTTTAGTTTTAATTTTATTTGTAAGCTACCTGGTTAAAATGATAAGAAGGATAACTATATAAATATATTTGTTTAAATAAGTAAATGACAGGAAATATATTCCCTAATTCAAGAAAGCCTACCTACAAGATTTTTAAAAATCACAGTTAAAGACAGAGAATAAGACCTGAGGTTTTCAATAAATTTGATTGTATTCCAAAGGTGAAAAATATTGATAATAATAGAACTAGATCAGATGAAGTTCTACCGTAATTTGGCTTTTTTAACACTCAAAATTGATGTGTCATTTCTTTGTAACCTGGTACCTTCCAGAGGTATTGGATTATAATATCCACAAATTGTCACCACTGGATTATCCTCTAGTAATAATTGACTATTGGATTATCAATTCCAGTTGCCCATAGCTATTAATAACAAGTTATAGCCCAATTAGTCTAGAAACACTAAGATGAAGAAGGCTATAATATAAGAATGCCTTAGTTCCTTCTGGTATTTATTATTCAAAGTTTAATCTTACTTTCAATCTTTAAAGAAATAGGAAAATTCAAATGAAGTGAAGAACCTATGGCTTCCCAGCTGTTGTTGGATCATAATTTGAGTCATCCATGACCATTGGCCTTACTGGTTGTGCCTTAAAGAATTAACATCCAAGAAGATATGAAGAGCCATGGATTTCCCATCCCAAAAGATCTAAAGGGGAAAATAAAGTGAGGTAATCTATGCTATTTATTTCCTGTGCTCATAATCACAAACTGTGAAAGATAAAGAATTTTAAAGGCTAACTCAAATATTTCATACATGTTGGCATATGAAATAAAAATAAAATAATTCTGAAAAAAAATAATGCAGCATATCTCCCAACCATTATATTGTTTAAAAATGGACAATGTATATCTATAGTTATATAATTATAGCTTTCTAAAATCAATATCAGCATTACCTATTGGGTTGTTCTTTATTCTGCATCATTTTTTGAGACTTAAAACACATTCAGAGTATTTCATTGAAGATGATCCAAAAAATAATGGAATTGTCTAATTAAAAATAAAGCAGGAATTCAAATCTAAATTTGAGTTAATCCTTGATTGCATGGATTAACAAGGGGATGGATATCCATTAAATCCTAATATTCAATAAATGTTAATTTTTCAGCAGAAAAGCACAATTGTCAGGAGAAACCTTTCTCTACTACTAGTAGTAAATGTGGTTTTGAAAAAAAAATTGTCTGAACTAAATCTATTATTGTCTAAAATTCAGGCAAATCTCATTCGGCAGATAGGGCTTTTAAATCTGAAGTTTATTAAACCAAAATCCATGAAATCGAAAACTTATTGTACAACAAAAGAATCCTATTACTGCATATTGACTTTGGGTTTTCTTTTCCTAGTGCCAACTGAAATTGGAAGATTGGATTCACATTGATTCTTCAATCAATAATGGAATGGCACATTATTATGTGGGGTATTATGCAGATCATATGGAAGTTGAAGCCAAGAAATTATGATTGTATACTTCGTAGTATGTATGGATATATGTTTGCATTCATAGCTCTTTGGTTTGATAATAATAGAATTTGGAATCATTTGTATACAATACCAAGTTTTTGTGGTTCCACTGGATTGCATTCCTACAATATATTGACATTTACACCAGAATATTTATTTCATGAGTGAAAGTGAACTATATGTCTTGAGTAGTATACAATCTTTGAAGCCTATAGCTATAGTGATCTGTCTGGAGAGTTGCTCATTTCAATTGATACTAGTAAATATTGGCCAGCTACAAGTCTATCTACCTACTGAACTGCTATTCAACTGCTCATGAAATAAAAAGCAGAAATAAAAGCTGTGTTCATAACACATTCTGAATTTTTTGCCCCCCAAACTGTTTTAATAGTTTACTATTAAAGATCTAACAGCATCTGCAATAAAGAGATAAAGCAGTTGTCTGTCAGGGTTCTCTGAAGTCATCTTTCCCCAAATTTGAAAAGTGCCTCACATAGCAAGCAAGAAAGATGGCATGCCCCATTACTTTTCCACTCACCCATCTCCCATAGGTGAGAGTGAGGTAATTACTATGTGGAATTAGAAGTGTAGCTCCTTTTAATTCATTTTACATACCTTTATTTCTAAAGCAATGATGATTTATCAGATTCCAGAAGTAACATTTTATTAATCATCAAATAATAAGATTTGGACCCATTCTCTCCTGTATGATTCTTTCCTACTTAGTCTTTTGCTATGCCCTCTAATTTTCTTGTTGCAGTTTCTGTTTTTCATTGCAGTTACACACACAGCTGATTGAACTGTACAACATGAAAAATAATACCAAGTTTCCACAGTGGGATTTTAATCTTTTTACTTGTATTATCCATGCACACATTTATTTTGTTGGTCAACAAAACTGGTTCAAAAATTGAATTCCTGCATTTGATCACTAAGCAAGAGTGATAGTATTCAAGCTGTCTATTTTGTAAAGATAATAGATCCAAGAATCTGTCAAATGGAAGTTAACTCCTAGCAGTGTCAGTGCTTTCTTGATTCATGATCTGCATGAAGAATTCTGTGGTTTCTTTATTACAATTTTGTTGTATGCTACGGGCAGCAAAGAGTGCTACTTGGCTGTATGACCACATGAGCTTGTTCACTAGTTTTTCCGTTCTGAATGTGCTTGCCTATTGTATGTTGGTGCCAAAGAATTTCAAGATAGATGAATTATTGATAGTTATTGCTATGAACATATATGTTGATTATGCTGCATTGGGTTTGGTTTTTACATTTATTCTCATAGTGCTATGTCTACTACAGAATATATACAGGAATATATTATATAAAGAGCCAGTTTATATAATATATTAAATAATATAGCCAGGTTATCTGGTGGTTAAGAAAACAGGCTAGAAAGCGGAAGACCATGAGTTCAAGCCCCATCTTAGCCATGAAAGCCAGCTGGCTGACTTTGGGCCAGTCACTCTTTCTTAGGCCAACCCACCTCACTGGGTTGTTGTTGTATGGAAAATAGGAGAAATAAGGTGATATGTTCACCACCTTGAGCTATTAAAAATAATAAATGTGAAATATATTTCAATAAATCAATATGAATTTGTTAGCTGTGACACAGGGGCTGCTAGTAAAAGTGCTGTCAGTTATTTAATATTTTTGTTTTGCTTATTAATGTATGTTTAATTACAGATATCCCTTAATATTTATGATCCTATTATTTGTTGTTTCAAGTATTTGCCATGGAAAGACCTGGGTATACACATAAACCTTTTGCACAATAAGTTTTGGCCTTATTTTACAGTAAGGGATTCAAATGATTAGACTGGATTTTTAACAATTAAATTGTCTACATAATAATTACGTTGTCTTCAGTTCTTCTAGTTACTTGATTCTGGTGGATCTGACTGACTTCACAAGGCTTTCTCCAAGAGCTGGCCTTATTCTTTTTAGCATCAATTCACTCAACTGCTGGAGTCACTCTTCGCAGACCATCTGGTGCATGCTGCTGCTCTTTTGTGGAAAGTTCTTTTATTTTCTTAGTGGACTTTAGTGTTCTTCTCAGATCACTTTTGGCTCTTTCTGATGATTTTATGAACCTTGTGTTGAGTAGTTCTTTGAAGCCCCCAAAAACAATACTGGTGCTTGAAACTGGCATTATTTCTGAGAGCAGGAAGAAGAAAATCTATGGGACAAAGAGGAAGGAAGTACTCATGGGAAGAAGATGACTATACTATCTGGAACCTAACTGATCAATTTCAATTCATTCAGTTCATTCTCATTATTTGCTGGTTTGTTACTGATGGTTGAAATGGAACTCCTGTGCATAATTTAAATGCTCATGTTACAGCTTTAAAATTAAATGTTAGTCTGAGTTCTCTTGTATTGTCTTTAACTGTGCAAATTACATTTGGATTATTACACATTAGGTCCATGAGTTTATAGTAATAATTATTTGTGAGTTCTGATAGCAGTAAGATTTAGGTTTTGCGACCTCATAGTTTTCATATACTGTATTTAAATTTTTATTACCTGCAAAAAATAATTAAATGTAACAGGTTAGAGTTGGTTGCCAAGATTTATTTCCTGCCTATACTTTTCCAGTCTTATTGCATTGCTCCTCCTGAAGGACAGGCAAAACAAAAATGGTGTATATAAATCAATCTGGATTTTCTGTTAGACTGTGGATAAAGTTGGTGCTTAAGTAAAAGGCAAAACTCAATTCATTATTCATGAATAGAGTTTATAAACAAGATGCCACATGACAACTGCATTTCACTTAACTATTTGTTTGGAACTTGACTATTTATTAATAGATAAAACTAATTCACAATGATTGCCTTTTTAAAATATAAATGCCATTCAATAGTATATTTCTGCCTAAAAGCTGTCATGTATTGGTATACATGATTTGGAAATTTTTAGGGAAAAATAGTATTCTGTTTCAAGTATATGACTGTTGCAAAACATGCCAAATTATTGTCAGTTTAAGGGAGAAAATCAAAATTGCTATAATTCAAAAACATGCAATTAAATTAAATTATTTCAAATTTATATCCTGGGTGGAAAAGTAAATTGGGTACTTGTTGGGTCATTTCAATAGGGGAAGAATCAGTTCATTTAAGAACTATAAATGTCAACGTGATCTACTCATTTTCTCTTTAAAATTGCGGCTAACACCATTAGAGTGAAACATACATGTTTATGGTTTCAGTCCTGAAATCCTGAATTTAATGGGTTCTCAAATTCAAAGGAAAAACGCATACCTTCATTGCTTCTAAGTAGTAAAAGCAGAAAAGACTAATGTATAGAAGAAAATGCAACATTTTTGTTCTTCCTCCCTTCATCTCTCCCCCCCATTGCACTAAAATGATGATGCTCGTCAAGAATACATACCAGATCTACAATCAATATCTTGCCTATATTTAGCTTGTCTCGCAAGTATTTGGCTGTAATTGCAACCGAATTAAAAAAGCAGAACCCCCTGTGGAATAGAGAAGAACAGAAATTTTATAAAGCACATTGGTCAGGAAACATCTATAAATAATGTTTAGGAGCATTTTTGTGTGTGTGTGTGTGTGTGTGTGTGTGTGTGTGTGTGTGTGTGTGTGTGTGTGTGTAAGTTATAAAAAAGCTATATGATCTCTGAGATCATAAATCTTCTTCTGGGATACCTCGAAAGCCTTTTCAGTCATCTGCTAACAATTAGAGGTCCTCTGAGACACCCACAGTACAGGTGATTGCCAGTAACCCTAGCACTCCAAGATGGGCAATATTCCCTGGTACTTACATGGCTGTTGATTCTTCAGCATGATGGCCTGGGGGCCTCACAATAGCAAAACCGTTCTGTAAGAACAAGATGGTTTTCAATTACCAGATTTTAAAAGAATAAGGCAGTAAGATAGGGGTGGCTGCAGAGAAATTCTCCTGTGTTTCTATGGAGCAAAAATCAGCAAGCAAACTGCTTTTGTTTCTTTGTACTGTGCTAAGACTTCTAAGCATCTTTTCCTGTCTTTGTTAACCTTTCATAGAATATGCTGAAACAATACCTTCACTTTCCAATGTTAATCTTTCATATAAGATGAAGGGAAAACATGTGGTATTTCAAATGCCATTGAACCATCATTCTATCATCTTTTAGGCATTTCAGGAAATAAATATCACAGGTGCTGCAGAAAATAAACGTGTCACACCAGGTCATGCTGAAATTAATGTAATACTCTCAAGATAAAGTGATTGGCATTCTATTTCACTGGTGTGACAGAACAAATTAGTTGCCAGTTCCATTCCTTTTGCATATGGGGTGAGACTGCTGTCCTCTTTCTTCTTTCCAGATAGTAAAATGCTATCCTGCCCCTACCTATAGACCATGCTAGCTGGGAATGAAGCAATCTATATCTTGAGAGATATACATTCTTCACCCTTGGACGGTAGTATATATAGATAGACACTGATACTAAAGAAACAAATACAAAAATCTTTCTAGTCCAACTTTGTTTTTAGTAGCAATCCAGTTAGATGTCTTCCAAGTTTCATGCAAAAGGTGTGACAATCATAAGGTCTGAAACATAGGGCATAAAAGTAATGGCCTACTGTTTGTTTGCCAGACCATCATTGAATATGGGGCTTTTCTCTAGTTATTGTGGCTTATACCTTTTGATATAATTATTATTTATTATCTGCAATCCCCAGTGCCAATGTGCAAGCAGAGTTTTGCAAATTTCTTTTCTAATAGCAGGTAAAATCATAGTATGTACATTGCATATCTATTATTTTGGCAACATTGCTGAGAATAGAGATGCTTGAAATTTGAAGTGACCTTAGATCTTTAATTTAAGCTCCTAGAAATCAACATTGGTATATTGCAAGACACAGCAAATTTCTTCATTTTTGTTGACCTTCTATGTCAGTATTAAAATATTCCTATGGCAATTCCATACATTTTTACTTCTTTGCAGATTAGAGAAGGGGTCCACAACCCCAGGTCCATGGACCAGTACCAGGCTGCAGCATGCCAGCAACTGGTCCACACAAACAAACAAACCCCCATCCGTGAGATGCAGGCAGCACACAAAACCTTGCCCCCTCTGATCTGCAGAAAAACCTCTCTCCACGGAACTGGTCCCTGGTGCCCAAAAGGTTGGGGACCTCTGGATTAGAGCACTTTATGTTTCTATTCCGATTAATTCTGTGTTCTTATTTTATGGTATCCATGTTTAATAGTGCCAGAATGCAAGAATATTTATTTCAAGTGTAAACACAAGGGGGGAAATCATAGGAATAATATTTGTATGCACATACATGTGTGCTTGCCAGAGTTCCCTAGTAAGGCACTGACTAAGTAAGGCTATATAAAAAAAAACAACTATTACGTAAAATACAATACTTAGCTACATAACCCAGGGAAAGAGTCACAAGAGAGTCTCAGACTGCAATCCTATATATTTCCTAGGATCTGTTTTTGAGTAAACATGAATGATTTATAATGATCATGTGGAGTTTTTAATCTATGTGCAGGTTATTGTACTCTTAACCCATATTTTTCACACTAAGCAATTTAAGATAATGTGGACTCTAACTCCTATACTGACTGCTGAGATTTTTTTTAATCCACTCACACTGTAAGTATGGAAATTCTGGAACTATGCAAATTGTCAGTTATGTCCATAATAAAACCCCAGAAAAATTTACAGTTTACCTAATCAAGACTACATCATATATAGATCCAATGTGTCCATATAAAAGTAAAGGACAAGAAATCAAGGATATGTAAACATTATATCTTTAAATAAATTCAAAACTTTGTTCCTTTGTTTTGTGTGTAGGTTTCTTTGTTTACATTCAGCTGCACAAAAATAAGAATTTTCTTTTTGCATGAAAATAAACTCTCACATAGAAAAAAGTCATTGGGGAGATTAGAAAAAAGAATGATGGAAATTCCATATTTCACTACACTATAAATCTAACTTAGAAGCCTGCCAAAGCTTGCAACTTTATTGGACTTTTTAAAGACAGATTATAATACACATGGTGGACATTTTGAATGTTTTCATTCAGAGTAGTCATGAAAAAAAATCTGATTTTCTACAAATACCATAAACAATTTCTGTAATACACCACTCATAGCTGTCCATTCCCTCCCAGCACGCTATGCAGCAAAGGATAGTTCAATCGCTCCTAAATGATGACCAGAAATTCAGGATTTAGAGTAAAGATGTACACTCTTTGCTGATAAGAAATGTAGTGTTAACAATTCACTGATTCTATGTATAAATATTATTCAGGGAATAATATCTTGTGTTAAATGAGACTGAAATATATACTGAGTTGGAAATTTTTGGAGTGCCAAAGATTGCTGAAAGACCAAATACTGAGATACCAGTGGAATAAATTAAAGATGAAAATTGTGAAGCACAAAAGGAAAGTGTGTGGAAGATGGAGTATTATTAATTTGACATTTCTGGTAGCTTCTAATCAACACTGAAAAGATGATTTCTGCATTGTGTATAGATATGAGTTAAGTTATGAGAAGAAGAGTTTGTTTTTAATTTTAAGAGAGGTTGAAGAGTCATGATGTTAGATTACAGTATACTCAATGTGATGAAGGTTAGAAGCCACTTCTTTATTATTGCCTTTCTTTTTCCTTTTTTTCTCTTTTAATTTCTTTTTTCTTTCTATTCTTTCTCTCTCTCTAAATTTCTTTGTTTTATGTTTTAATTTAATTTTTATTTATTTTTACTATATCTATTAAAACTTTATTAAAATTGTTATAAACAAATATATATACTACTGTGTGAATGCCATCCAATTTAACCACTTTCAGAATTAAAAATCCAGGATGTCACTCAACTTCAATTGGTATTCTTTGGTTTTTGTATAATCCTAATGATGGTAATGTCCACCATTAGAATTATATAAACATTATTACTCACTTCAGGATTTTAAAACTGCCTGTCTCCATCCTCCAAGCCTTGATCCAGGAGGTGTGAAAAAATTCATGGGTGAGTAAGGAGCATAGTGATACAGAAAATGTCATTGTTTATACAGATCTAAGTGCTTACAGATTAGGTAAATGCTTGAATATGTTCAGAGAGTAAATGAAACTGAGCTGTCTAGATTTTTCTTCTCACTCTTTGCTATTACACCAATAAAAATAGAGATATTGCATCAGCAAGAATAAGAATAAAATGTTGACCTACATAAACTTGCACATATTCTTTATACGTATAATTTGTATATGTGGATAATTATTAGGAGAGTGTATACTTCGAAAATTGTTCAGAAAATATGGTCCAAACCTCACACAAGTTTTCTGCTACTCTTTAAAACAGCCACACTTTTTTGTAGACTTCCTCCACAAGGAAACTCTTAAGGCAGCATCACCTTTTTCCAAGCTTAATCGAATCATAAAAAATAGAAGTTTGCTTTAAAGATATCAAAGAGGTGCTATGCTTTCAGTTGTATAAATTCAAAAGCAGTGCTTCCTAAACATTTTCAAAGCATGCATAACATTAATATACTGTGATTTTCAAATACACAGAATAGTTCATAGATTCCATATTTATTCTGTGAAGGTAGGGCTACTATTGATGGGCAACTTAACATTTCCTATTGTCCTTAATGAAGATTTATTCATTCTGCCTGGTTGGCCCATCACAAGAACAGTCTAACTACCATTTTTGGCAGGCAGAAACACATCACTCTCTATTAATCCTTCATTTACACTCAAAGCAACCTGCTGGCTTGTTTAGCTATTCCCAATTCCCAAGCAAAATTGTCCATGTTATATTTCTGTGAATATTCCTGTCCATTTAGCATAGCATAATTCAATTCTTTGCAGGTTAACTCTAACTATTAATTGGCTACTTCACAGAGGTAGGTATGGCTCTTCAACTGAGCTGCTGTTTATCATAGTTTCTGTTACATTTTAAAACTACTTTTACCATGAATTCTGTAATAGCACAATAGTTATAATATGTGCCTTTTAAATACTAGTTGCTATTTTGAAATTTAGCAACATACCATTTTACAAGTTTTCCAATCACTCAAGCAGAAGAATTTCATCTTCCAATTTCTAAATAGTCCACAAGTTATTTGAGGAGTATAAGTCTCTGGAAAATAAAAGTAATATTTTTAAAAGGTTTCTGTTGTGTTTTGAACTAGCATATACATAAATTCAGCTTACTAGTATATGTATATTATACGTGCATTATACACTACATTTAAAGTATAGTTGACTAGGAATATTCATCAAGAGACAATTCCCGTTTAGATAGAATTGACAGTGGGAAGGGGGAATGTAGTTATATCTTGATTTCAGCAAAATATTTAGTAAGGTTTCCCATGAGATTCTATCAAACAAGAATACATCATCTTGGATTGACTATGAGACTTGATTGAACAATTTTATCCCAAGGAGCGCAGATCTGTGGCTTTATTTCAAGAGGGATAGGTTCAATAGCCTCCAATGTAGACACTGCGTAATTTGCCATGCTTATAAATTATTTGGATGAAAGATTAGAAAACATAATTATCAAATATGTACAAATGAATGATAAATGCCTTAGGTGACAATGTCAAGGTTCAGTATCTTATCAAGCTGGCAGATATTAGGAGGAGGATTTCCAAGAGTACAAACATTTTGATCTGAAGGTTCTCAAAATGATGGGATATCAGTAAATGTAAAAAAAGGACAGATTTGGCTCTGCCAGATCACAAACTGAAGATGAACTGCAAAGCAACTTTAAAAAAAGCCAATGCAATCCTAGGCTTCATCAAGAGATGTCGGGTGTCAAGATCAAGAACATAGCAATGAGATGAGGAGAGGACAGACACAAGTATCAGGA